CGGAGTTGTTCCTTTTTCTCCCCCTACGAAGATTAAATCAACTTAGTGGGGTTGAAATAGCAAGGGCCTTGAACTTAGTTTGGTAACACATTGACCTCAACACATAGAGATACATGCTAACCCCAACTTGTAGATTAGTCAGTATGACCATAAACATACTTTGAGTGCCTAATAATGGCAAAGAGACCAGAGTGATTTGGATTGAAACTGCTAACAAAATCACAACTGAATGTCACCAGTTAGCTGTACCAGAAGGTGTACAATGTTTGGTTACAGTTCTAGGTAGACGACTGCTAGAAATGAAATAGGTAAAATGGCTTATCATGAGGGTCAAAGTAGGGATACATTAAATGAATTAGGGTAATGAATTCTAGGTATGATGTAGGTGAAGGGTCATACTTCAACAAAGCCACAGTTGTTACATCGCAGCAGTCAGGAATGCCAAATTAAATGTATTGTAAAATGTAAAATTTGGACATTTATCTGAAGTTTGGTATATGAATGTCCCAGGATGGATCTGGATTATATTTGTTTACATGGACTTGGGACATTCAAACTATAAAGAGGCACTCTATGCACCAGTAAATCTACAGCTTAATGTAGTGGTTCTAGTGTAAGAGGACTTATCCTGCAGTCACAGCAATCCAATCACTGCCCTTTTTGAGAAACGGTAGTATTTACATTATGTGCTAAGGCCACCTCTAGTGGCTGTCACTAAGACAGCCACTAGAGGCACTTTCTGATGTGGTCCTGCAATCTTTGCAGGGCCAAAATTTCACATTCACATTCTGCATGGAAACACCCAATGATCCAACATGGGGATGCACTGAGCCAATGAATCTTTACAAAGAGATGTTGATTGACATACTGATTGGTGCAATGTGACAATTGATGCACATGCACACTAGCCCTTAATGCTTTCACTATAAGGATGCATTGAATTGACTGGGGTCATCAAATAATAATGATCTCAGCCAGGTAAGAAGAGGCAATTGTGGTGAGACCAGTACGCTGGAGGACTAAAGTTGAATACAACTTCTTTATTAAATGTTTACAGGACAGAAAGAAGGGAGCACAAATGTAAATATTTAAGGAAACCTCTAACGTTACATGTTTCCTGAAGTTAGTGTTCCTTTTATGATTAACATTTTCTGAGATCCTCGAAATGTCTTTTCTGTGAGCTTTTGCAGACAATGCTAGAGTAAAAACCTAGAAAGGAGGGAGAGCTTCCAAATCAGGATTGTTGGAAAGTATGATTTTTGTCTAGTGCTTGTATCTACCTTAATAGCAAAAAGGGCATCTAAATAATACTTTAGGAACACTTATTTGGGTGACGTTGGTTCTTTTACAAGGCTCATTACAGTGTATTTATGTAAATGGAATGTTTACAAATGTATGCCTTTCCTATGTCATGACACTGTTGCAACTACGCAAACAGATTTACAATGACACACACAACACACAAAGACAGACACACACAGATACGTACAGTAACACACCCACACACAGAAAAAAAGGAAGCACATATTTCTGTCCACCTTCCTGTTGGCCCTGAGGTTGGCTATAATGACTGCACTACTTTTAGTTCCATCTCAAAACATGGGACTGTCAACTATGATATTTTTACATAGTCCAATTTCTCAAAAAGAGTTGTTCTCTTGCTTTTAAAAAGGTTTATTAGTTTATTAATTAACATGAGAATTTTCATGTATTCAAAGTTTTAAATTTAATACCTAAACAGGACAATTTTCCAAGTCATCTATGTTTGATTTTAGTTACCTTAAATTTGAAATTCACTTAGAATTCGCTTCAGACTCCCAACAGGCCCTACTTTAGTGACTAACCCTATTTGAATGGAATCTCCAGCTCTACCAAGCTGCTGTATAATACAGAGAAAAAAAACAGATATACCAGGCTTCAAAACATCAGGCCTTGTCCTACAATGTAATGATGTTAGGTCAACATTAATACACAACAGTTATTAGCTACAATTCTCTAGCCAGAGCAGCTATTTAATGGTTTAATTGTTAAAGAAGCTTGACACCTTTGTGGTACCCTATGGTGTTACTTTGTGTTACCCAGCAGCTTCATTAGTTACTAACTACCGTACTGTTATAATTAGATACAAGATAGGTCCTCTAATAAAAGATAATTAATCTTACCACCTTGATGACTATCCCGATAACACGCTGCAGTGTAATATCACATCCTTACATTCTATGGAGCCTATGTCACACTAGCAAGTAGATTTAATGGTGTTGCTTAGAAAAAAATAAAAAATAATGCATGTATTTAACACGCTACACTCTGGCTAGCCTCTATCCATTGATGAAGCTCAGTCCATGAGAGAGCTACAAGTCTCCAGATACTAAGCTCAAATAGATACAGGAGAAGAGTTGCAGAGTATCACAAAGCCCAAAATATGCAATATTACAGCTATCAAAGCCTTAGTCATGTATCCAAGCCAATTCATCATATTTTTAAATCAATTAATCTTATTCCTGTCTGAATTGTCCATCCTGAATCTACGTTTAGCAAAAAGAAAAGTGATATGATGACATTTGTGGTGGAAGTTTTGGTTTCTGGTGAGACTTTGCAGTTCACTGTCTAGTATCTCAAAAAGAGTCAATGTTTTCTATTTCTAAACATGTAGATATTTTACTGTATGAGATCTCGGTATAGATGCATTACTAGAGATTTATGGGATCTCCATCTACATCTATCGCTTTTTGAGGTCTCTATATAGACTTCTGTGCTAGAAAGTATTTCGTCCATAAACGAATTGATTTATCCATTTTTAATCAAAACCCAAGCGAATCAATTCATCCATTTATGCCCAGCTGGATCCATTCATTCAAATGTGTATTAAAAGGGTTTTGATTCGGATGAATTGAATCTATTCAGAGCTCCATAAAGGGATGGGGCAAAGGACATGTGTGCAGTGTTAAACATTTGCATTATTTGACTTTTTTTCTAATCAACAACATTAAATGTTTTTGCTAGTGTGACAAAGACTCCATAGAATATAAGAATAAGATATTACACTGCAATGTGAAATCCGAATAGTTCTCCAGGTGATCGGATTAAAATCAAGTTATTAGAGGACCTATCTTGTATCTAATTATGCCAGTTTGGTAGATAGTAACTAATGAAGCTGATGTGCTAATGAATTAACACCACAAGGTACCATATCGTCTTATTTAATTAAACCACTAAATGGCTTCTTTGTCTAGAGTACTGTAACTAATAACTCCTGTGCATTAATGCTGACATTAAATTATTACACTGTTTATTACTGTATGATACCTCCATGTAGATATATTAATGTATAGGGCCTCCATGTAGATATATTACTGTATGAGGCCTCCATATAGATATATTACTGTATGGGTCTCCATGTAGATATATTACAGTATGGGCCTCCATGTATATTACACACGGCCTCCATGTAGATATATTACTGTATGAGGCCTCCATATAGATATATTACTGTATGGGTCTCCATGTAGATATATTACAGTATGGGCCTCCATGTATATTACACAGGGCCTCCATGTAGATATATTATTACTAGTGATGTCCCGAACGGTTCGCCGAACGGTTCGCCGAACGGTTCGCCGAACGGTTCGTGAACGGTTCGCCACGGACTTATCATTGAGTAAACTTTGACCCTGTACCTCACAGTCAGCAGACACATTCCAGCCAATCAGCAACAGACCCTCCCTCCCAGACCCTCCCACCTCCTGGACAGCATCCATTTTACATTCATTGTGAAGCTGCATTCTTATTTGAGAGCTGTCCAGGGTGGGAGAAGATGAGAGAAGATAAACCAGCTGAATGTATGAGCATGAGTCAAGACTACAATAAATGAGACAATGTCATTAAAATCAGCGAACCGTTCGCGAACCGTTTGGGACATCACTAATTATTACATATGACCTGCATGAAGATATAATACTGTATGGGCCTCCATGTAGATATATTATTACATAGGGCCTCCATGTAAATATAAATATATTACTTACATACATACAATAAAGGTGGAGCTCCTAAAATATTTTTCAAATTATCTGTAAAACACAATATTACAAGAAATAGCGCAGTACAAGAAAAGTGTGATGATGTCACTCACAAGTCTGGAGTCATACCCTCATATGACTCCGGTGGTATACGCCTCTGGACTATTCAAGGATGTCCAAATCCCCTTTCTGTCATCCGATCAGTTGGTAGTCTCCCTTATACTGGCTTCAATGTTGAAAAAAGTGCCAAGTGCAGGGTATAATGTCCAACAAATTATATATTTATTGATTGAAAATCAAATTAAAAGTATTAAAAATAAAACACTTCCATAAAATATGATAAATGTCCAAATAGATTAGTCCAATGGCTCAGTGGCCTTCAATAAATGACCAAAATGCGTTTTGCCTTGTGCCAAGGCTTC